AATAGCTTTTAAAATTGCCATATTTACTCCCCAGAAAATATGCAGCCTAACACGCGATCTTGTCGAGGCCACCGAGGAGGAAAAATGGTCATCTTATACAAAAATAATTTACTTCAGACCGAAAAATGTATATGATAAAAAGATAATACAAGTCGATAAGTGAAATGAAGAAGAAGGAAGAGAAGAAAAACTCGATAATTAGGTAAGTCATCAACAGGTAATAGACAGGTAGCAGACAGGTAGCCGAACACTGAGTAGGTGAGGGAGAGGTGAGGGATGAGTAGGTGGGAGAGAGGGGAGGTGAGGGGGAGGTGAGGGATGAGTAGGTGGGAGAGAGGGAAGGTGAGGGGGAGGGAGAGGTGAGGCTGGTGGGTGGAGAGGGAGGGGGTGAGGGGGAGGGAGAGGTGAGGGAAGGTGAGGGGGAGGGAGAGGTGAGGGCTTGCGTGTGTGTTTACGAGTCTTTACGATCTATAACTTCTTCGTTACACCTTAAGTCATTGTATCGTCCTCACACTGTTTACTTTTTTGTTCTTTAGGTTGTTCGGTGGTTCGTTGACGAAGTTAATAATGACTTGATTAGTACACGTTGGCACAGTCTTCAAACGTTGGCACAGTCTTCAAACGTTGGCACAGTCTTCAAACGTTGGCACAGTCTTCAAACGTTGGCACAGTCTTCAAACGTTGGCACAGTCTTCAAACGTTAGCTGAAGATCTATAAATATTGTCGGGTTTGTTCATCAGTAAGCATGGAAAGACAGACAGCCAAACAGACAGACAGACAGACAGCCAAACAGACAGACAGACAGACAGACGGAGCCGCACGGAGGAAGTGTGTATCTAATAATGATCGTCCTGTTAGCTTGTCAGGTGCTTCAGATTCCAGAGCTTGTTAGTGTTTTGAGGTTGGAGTCTGACCTGAGATGATCTGAAGTCACGACGATTATAGATACGACGCTGGACGACGATTATAGATACGACTGGACGACGATTATAGGTATAACTGTACATTGATTATGGAATATAACTGGACGACGATTATGAATGCGACTGGACGACGATTATAGATACGACTGGACGACGATTATAGATACGACTGGACGATGATTATAGGTATAACTGTACGATGATTATGGGTATAACTGGACGATGATTATAGATACGACTGGACGATGATTATAGGTATAACTGTACGATGATTATGGGTATAACTGGACGATGATTATAGATACGACTGGACGATGATTATAGGTATAACTGGACGATGATTATGGGTATAACTGGACGATGATTATAGACGATTTCCGGGATAAGAAAGAATGAATAAATGCTCATCTACATAAGCTATAGGGAAGGCGAACTAAATAATCTAATATATTGTTTCATGTTTATTAAATTGAGTTACTTCTTCTGTAAGTGAATATACTCCACGTGCTGTGTCTCTCTCTCTCTCTCTCTCTCTCTCTCTCTCTCTGTGTTTTTAAGAATGTCTGTAAATAAGAGGAAGAGAAATAAAAAGAAAGAAGAAAGAGACAGACAGACAGACAGACAGACAACGATACAAAAACTGAAATATTTAAAGGAAAAACACACACACGAGAGGCGTGCGGGCGTGTAATACTGAGGGAGATAGTTAGGGAGGGCGTGGGAGAGAGAGAGGGGGGAGGGAGGGAGGGGAGAGAGAGGGGGGGAGGGAGGGAGGGGGAGGGCGTGGGGGAGAGAGGGGGGGAGGGGTGGGAGGTAGGGCGTGGGGAGAGGGAGAGAGAGGGAGGGGGAGGGAGGTAAGGAGTGAAAGAGTGAGGAAAGGAGTGAGTGAGGGAGGGAGGGAGTGAGTGAGAGATGGCGTGTATGACCGAGTAAAAAAAACAGTGAGGGAGTAAGTGAGCGAGACTGATACGGAGTGAAAGGTGCCCTGGAATCTTTAGAAGGGGAGTCCATCTTGTGTCTCAGAGACCTTGGGTTAAATATATAATTTATTGTTTAAGTAAATAATAAAACTCATGGCATAAAGACTCGGGTAATTTATCATTGGTGACGAAGGACTTAAAAGCTCTTTGTTTATTCTGTGTCGTTGAAAATATCTATGACACGATTTCTGTTCTGTGAGGTAAAGATCTGGTTTAACCCTCTGCCATTTAGGTTCTTAATCCCATCGATGAATGTCAGAAAACTTCGTAAATGTCAAGGCTAAACTCTATAGTGTGTCATGTGGAGTAAGCAGTTGTTTTGGGGGCATTATTGTTAAAAGTCTGAAGTATGATGTAATATGTCTACGTTTTCCCATTGGATTGGACTCTCTCTCTCTCTCTCTCTCTCTCTCTCTCTCTCTCTCTCTCTCTCTCTCTCTCTCTCTCAGGTTTTATTACCATGTTCCTCCGCGGTTGACACACAGAGGCAGTACAGGATGTGGTCACTGTGTTGGTCGTCTGATTGCCTCTAAGGTCAGGAACAAACTCTTCTCGACATATGGTTTTACGAGACGCGTCAGAATGTCATTGTTACTCCTACTGCTTATTAAATTTTATGTCTATTTTACGTTGAAAGTCAGGTTTATCTTCCCTAGCCAAAAGTGTATGTAAATATAATGCGCATCTTGTTATAGTATGTGAAAGGAGATGGTAGCATGCAAGGTCAATTCTTGTTTGTCTTGATGCAAATTTAGTTGGAAAGTAAAGTTGATCTTCCACGACCAAGGAGGCGAGACACAATAACCTCATATTGATATAAATTGAAAGTAAAATTCTAATTCTCGGAAGAAAGTGTTATCCAGAGGCTTGACTCTCAACAAATAGTGTAATAAATCTTCTTCTCTCTTCTAATTGGGGGGAATAAAGCGCAAATAATTACAATAATAACTCGGCAGTCAAGTCATTGTATCATACGGTATTAACTTCACTATCAAGGAGAAACAGACACCCGAGCCTTTAATAATCCAACCCAAAATTACTACGTTCCCAGGCAGGGTGTAGAGGCAGACAGGGTGTAGAGGCAGACAGGGTGTAGAGGCAGGTAGAGTGTAGAGGCAGGCAGAGGCAGTATTAGTAACTGACTCCCGCGATGCCTCCTATTGCCTCTGGCCTTGCAACACTCCCTCTCCCACCAAGAACCCCAAAGAAAACGGGCGAGGGGGTGTTACCTGAGCTCTGTTGTTGGTAGTGAAAGAATTGGGTCACGTGAGGTGGTCGGGGATCTGAGTCACCTTATATGGCCCGAGGTGGGGCTACCATGGCCCGAGGTGGGGTAAACACCAGGGTCAGAGGCCGAAAGTGATCAGAGGGATGGTGTGGTTTAGGTGGTCAGGGGATGGTGTGGTTTAGGTGGTCAGGGGATAGTGTGGTCAGCTTTAGGTGGTCAGGGGATGGTGTGGTTTAGGTGGTCAGGGAGTAATGTACCCTTGAGAGGAAGAAGCGAGTGTAAGAACAGCGAGACAACAGGATTGAGGGCAGGTGGGCGGGGAGAGGGTGGGCTGGTGGGCGGGGAGAGGGGTGGGCAGGTGGGCGGGGATGGAGAGGGAGGGAGGCAGGTGGGAAGAGTGAGAGGACAGGAGGGCGGAGAGAGGGTAGTGGGCAAGTGGCGGAAGAGAGTGAAAAGAGGTCATGTAGGCGGAGAGAGAGTGAAAGGGAGGGAGGCAGGTGGGCGGAGGAGATAGTGTGAGATAGGTGGAGAGAGAGAGAGAAGGGAAGTGGGGGGGTGAGAGAAAGTAAGAGGGCGGGCATGTGAGAGAGGGGGACAGGGAGGAAGAAGGGGGGGAGGGGGGAGGGGGGTCAGGTGGTCGGAACATCTCAGCGGGCAGCAGAACCATGAGGTAAGAGAGGACTGTACAGGTGTGTGATGGATGAGTCCTCCCCCACCATAACACTCATCTCAGAGGGGTAATTACTCAACTACCGGAAACTTATCAAAATCTTACTTTTAACTTTGTGGATGTTGTCTCCCGCTTGTTTTATACAACATGATTTAATATATAAAGACAATTTCATAGTTGACTCGAGAATCTAACAGGCTTTGAATTGTTTGTTTATTATGATGTAATTTCACGTAGTTTTCATTTTACAGATTAGCGGAACAGCATTTGGCTTTGTCCTATAGGTATGCGTCAGGTAGATGGCAACGTAATTAAAAGTGGTTGTGATTAAATGAAAACTATCGTACAGTTATGTTAGAATCTTGTGGACAATTCCTTAGATGAAGTAGAAACTGAATGATGCTGCCCCGGGAAGGAACTAGATATATTACACCTGTAGTAATATTTCGTGCAAGTAAGATGATTCGAGTCTTGGGTATAATATAAAAATCACATTTTGCTTCTCTCGTCTTCACACTTTGATATAGATGTTGTAAAAAGAAACGATCTTAAATGTTAAACAAGTGTCACGGGGCAGAGTTATAATGCACCAGACTGTACTGTAAACAGATTGAGAGGCACAGTATGTTAGGTTGGGGCGCCAGGATGTGAAGCATGTGGCTGGGGCGACAGACGGACGAGACCATCAAGTCCATAACGTCAATAATGAAGGAGAGAACAGTGGCAGGGGAGAGCTGGACACCTGGAGCCATAATCAAGAACCTGTGTTAATTGAACCACATTTACCTGATATCTGGGAGGCAAATGTACATAGATATAACGTGTTTAATGTGAGCCCGACACCAGGGATGGTCGAGGTGTTCATGGTACGTCGAGCGGTGAGGTACGAGTGCTTGTGTAGGTTACTAAAACTTCACGTGGTCAGCGTGGGTTAGTGGAGAGACACTTAACCTCATGTGTTAGGATATACCAAAGATGGTCATGAGGGGCGGTAGTAAATAAACCCTAATATATACGAGGTGTCGATAAGTAAATGGTTTGTCCTATGAAACACACATCCAGAAACTGTAACGTCAAAACTGTAAACCAAATAGTCTTTTCTCACACAAGTTTAACATCACACACATAGTGGCGGGTTGATCACTGCAGCCAGACACTTATACACTGAACACAACACAAGACTCCTGGTCCACAATACCTTGATCCTCATGATCGTGGTGAACGAGAGTAGAGTAAAGGACTGAAGCCTCTGCTGTTGCCCTTCTGCCTTTTATACCTGTTCGCCCTCGACTCCTACCCGTGGCACTCAGTGTCAACGTCATCGATGCCACCGACCCGCCCCTCACGTAGCTCCCCACAACACCTCCACACAGTCTCTCAAGGTTGTCAGTTTTTCATCTTAAAAAAAGTATTCCATCTGTGAAATTATGTTTAAAGTGTAATAATACACTTAAAATGACCTTAGTTACATGATTTAGTAGTTGTTTATTTAACAAATGGGTATTGAGGGATTGGCAACAGTGTGTGGGCTGGGTGAAGGAGTCACCGATGCGGGGAGGGGCGGGGACGGGACAGCCCAGGTGAAAGGGCTCTGGGGCACTCCGGACGAGGCCCTGACGCGGTCACCCACTGTTGGGGGGGAGGAAGGAGGTGGAGGGGATTTTAGTTCTCCTGTGTGTTCTTGACTCGAGGAAAATACAGAGTTCCTGGACTAGAATCTGGAACACAAGAGGAAGTCGTGAGGGTGAAGAGTGTCCTGTGTCCCACTCTCTCCGGGACCTTCCTGGCGCCATGCTCCTCGAGGCCACAGGATGGTCTCTCTCTCTCTCTCTCTCTCTCTCTCTCTCTCTCTCTCTCTCTCTCTCTCTCTCATCACGTCTGTCTTCCATAATTCACATAATTAATAAACCAGACACAAGCACAGAAGAGGCGAGAACACGTGGTCGTATGTGGAACAAGCAAGAGAGGTGAGAGAGAAAGTGGAGCGAGTGGAAATAGAATGAAAGAGAGTGAAAGTAAGAAGGAGAGAGAAAGTACTGACAACAACAAAGGGACTGAAAAAAGGATAGTTGATAAAGAGAGATGACTATAAGAGGAAGGAAAGAGAAAGGGAAATATAAAAAATGATGATGTTGTAGTAGTAGTAGTAGTAGTAGTAGTAGTAGTTATGTGACAGGTATATTAATCAGAGTAACGTTCCCCTTCCCTCACCTTCCCAAATAGTAATTAACACAAACATTCACGGTAGAGTTTAAAGCCACCCTGCCCTCCCCCTGCCCTCCCCTGCCCTCCCCCTGCTCTCTCCTTGCCCTCCCACTGCCCACCCTTTGCCCTCCCTCTTCCCTCCCCCATTAAAACACCATTTGTGATATCCAGTGCAAATAGAATTCAGAATTTACGGTTTTTGTCGAGTTAATTGATATATATAGTTCCATTCCTGAACTGTTATACTCTGGAACATAACTTTGGTCTTTGGGGGAAAAAGTAAAGTGGTTAATTTGACTCTATTTTTAAACGACTTGTATTACTGTGTTAAAGTATCACTGTACCATTATACCATTGTACCATTATACCATTGTAACCCTGTATCACTGTACCTCTCTGTAGAAGATGTTAAGACAGTTTATAATCACAGAAGGACACACTCACACACCACATCCTCACCACCAAAAACTTGCCACACGACGTAAACTCTAGGTCAACAAGACGAGCCATGACTGACGTGTGTACCAACCTCTCCAACCTATAAACTGGACACTTATGACATTTTCTCTCTCTGTCTGTCTGTCTGCCTGTCTGTCTGCCTGTCTGTCTGCCTGTCTGTCTGCCTGCTATTCTCAGTCTCTATGTATCTATCTCTTTAATCTCTATTCACAATCTCTCTATCTCTCACTATCTCCCTCTATCCACAATCTCTCTCTAAATTTTAAGGAGAAACCTGTTTACTTGAAGGCCCTCTGATGACAAGCATATATTATTACTGCACTGTCAGGTGAGCGCTCCGCCGGGACACCTGAGAAGACAGTTGTGTTTGTGACGTAAGTGACTGGAAGAGACTGTGTTATTAATACCTTCAAACCCTGAGGAATTGGTGACGTCAAGTTATAAATAGTGTGTCATAGGTCAACCAGGCCCCAGTCTTCATGATAGGAGGTCTCTTATGTTGGGTCTGTGTCCCAATAAGCCCCATTATTAATAGGTCCTAGTACTGATAATAGATCCATGTCCTAATAGGTTTGAGTTCTATTAGGTTCATTAGGACTGGATGGAGTTAGGATTTATAGAACTTGGATCGATTATACAGTCAAGGGTTTCTGGAGTGTGTGTGTGTGTGTGTGTGTGTGTGTGTGTGTGTGTGTGTGTGTGTGTGTCGCTGCTTACCTTCCTATGAATAAAGTTTCCCCCAGAATGACTCCGCTTGTTGACTAAGCTACAAGACAGATATAGTACACAAACATTCCAACAGACACTGGAGGTTAATGTTTTATATTATACAAATCTAACGTTGATTATTTTCACCAACATAGAATATATGTACAATTCATAAGTCAGCCGCATATCTAATAGTGACATGAATACAAGACGGTGATAAATATTCAAATATATACTTGAATATACATACAAATCTGAATATATATACAAAAAATATGTAATTTACCTTTATAAACACATACACACACACACACACACACACACACACACACACACACACATACATCGTAAATGAATATATGAATAAGTATATATAAATAAATACTTTATATATACAAACAATAAACTATTCGTAATTTCGACGTAGAGTTTGTAAGTTGATTTGTCTTGTGTCTGGGAGAGTCGTGGTGTTTACTGATGAGGGAGAGGCCAGGAGGTCACCCTCACCCACGGGGAGGAGAGGTGGAGAGGAGAGGTAGAGAGGAGGGGTGGAGGGGTGGGGTGGAGAGGTGGAGAGAAGGGTTGGGGAGGAGAGGTAGAGAGGAGGGGTGGGGTAGAGAGGAGGGGTGGAGAGGAAGAAAGGAATAGAGACCTTGGTGTTGGACGACCATTAGTATAGTAACTCTCTCTCTCTCTCTCTCTCTCTCTCTCTCTCTCTCTCTCTCTCTAACAGACATAAAACAACATTATCTATATTCATGCTGCACATTCAACTGACCTTAAGATTTATAACCAAGTCTTTAAGAAACTACCAACTGGATCCACACACACACACACAAAGATCTTGTTTCCACAGTGTTTCGTCAATTGTTACCCATAAGAAGAACTGAGATGAGTTTTAAGATACCCGAGTTAATATTTAAAGTCACTGGTTTACAAGATGTTAAATGAGTTATTAATATTTATCGTTATTTAAATGTTTGATTGTGGAGTAGAGGTGAAATATACTGTGGCTATTGTTATTGTTATTGTTATTGTTATTATTAATTTAGCCTTGTTGTATATTGAGTAATTATGTATAACCTTATAAAAATTAAATAATAATAATAATAATAATAAAAATAATAATAATATTAATAATAATAATAATAATAATAATAATAATTGTAACTTTACGGTTTTCATTCGTATAATTTTTTTTCATCTTACTAAACCTGATTAAGGACTTGTAATTTCATGCCAAGTTAAGGTTGAATTATTATTAAATTAAAGTAAGCTTATTTTCTGTCTGTCTTATCGTAACCAATGGGTAAACAGACATTTGATGAGGAACCCACATAGTTCACACACAGACACAGACACACACACACACACAGACACACACACACAGACAGACACACACAGACAGACACACACACACACACACACACACACACGTACATTTCTTGAGGTGGGATGACCATCAAAGTGGTTCTTCAGGAGTGTTTGAGAACGTGACTTCGACCACACAATACCAAGTTAGTTTCTCCTTTACAGCGACACAAACTATTGCGTGTTACCAGAACGTTGTCACACCCATCCAGTGCCATGTGGGTCAAGACTTTCACTATATAGGAACACGTGTAAGTTGATAATTGAATATAGATAAACGCTTAATACCTGTAGGCCCTAGAGTGTTTCAGAGACATCCAAACAGACTAAGAAAATGAAATATAATAATAAATAAACTATCTCTGAAGGCAAGAGTATTACATAATATCTCTTACCATAAAGTATTAACACCACGTCCAGGGTTTATAGGAGGTGCGGTGAATGTAATGTGGTAAGGTTTTTTTTCTCAGTTCAATTACTCTGCTGTCGTCTCCCGAGGCTGTGTGCTTCTTCAAGTTTAATTCACCGGAAATTCCTAAGCCGCGGGTTTTGCTTCCATTATAAGGCTATGACATACCTTCCGCACCTTCCATACACGTGTCAGTCAGTCAGTCAGTCAGTCCGTCAGTCAGTCAGTCCGTCAGTCAGTTAGTTAGTTATAGCCAGCAGGAGGAAGTTTCCCTTACAGGTGTTATAGTAAACATGTGTTTCGGCTACTGTATCTAGGTCTCTAGTACAAGTGTTATCTCGTCAGGTGTTTTTTACAGGTGTTGAGCCGTGTTAAACACCGGTGAGACACGTGTTAGCTATTAGGATATCCCACGTGCACTTGTTATAGCTACGTAACAGTGAATCTACCTCCATTACAGGTGTTCTCTCATTAGTGGCTCTTCCTGTAGGTGTTATGACCGGGTTCCACGTCCTCCGTCTCCTTCACCTGCCTACTATCCCTCCTGTAGGTGGTCAAGGCATACACACAGCTACCTCGTCTATCTATCCCAGCTCAGGTGCTCTCATCGACACAGGTTATGACATCAATTTATCCAAGCCAAGTCCAGCAGGTGTTCCGAGTGTTGTAATGGTCGAGTGAGGCAAAAAAGGGGGTATTTGTGAGTGTGTGTGTGTGTGTGTGTGTGTGTGTGTGTGTGTGTGTGTGTGTGTGTGTGTGTGTGGCTGTATACACCCCCACTCTAGGTCAGTCGGGGTCATTGATCTACTTCTGCCTTTTATAATGACATTTACCCCACAGCTGAATAACCGGAGGGAGAGTCAGGGTTTGGTTAGACTGGTGAGGCTTCATTCATCCTAGTCCACCACATACCACAGTCTGGTCCACCACATACCACAGTCTGGTCCACCACATACCACAGTTTGGTCCACCACATACCACACCCTGGTCCACCACATACCACACCCTGGTCCACCACATACCACACCCTGGTCCACCACATACCACACCCTGGTCCACCACATACCACACCCTGGTCCACCACATACCACACCCTGGTGGTCCACCACATACCCTGTCACGGCTGAATG